GTGTGGAGGTGCATGGAGGCACGTGAGGCATGTGGATATGTGCGTGGAGGCACGTGGAGGCACGTGGAGGTGCGTGGAGGTACGTGGAGGTGCGTGGAGGTACGTGGATGTGCGTGGAGGTGCGTGGGGGCACGTGGATATGTGCGTGGAGGCACGTGGAGGCATGTGGAGGTGCGTGGAGGTACGTGGAGGTGCGTGGAGGCACGTGAGGCACGTGGATATGTGTGTGGAGGCGCGTGGAGGCGTGTGAGGTGCGAGTCAGCATGGGGAGAGACACGCCATCCACCCAGGCACCCGGTCGGCAGCCAACCCACCCCGGTCACCACCCCAGCCCGGCCAGCGCCCGCCGACAAGCCCGGGGCCTGGCCTCTGCCCAGGCCGCCAGCAGGAGCAGGCTTGGCGGTGGCCAGCACCTGGACCCGCACGGGCGGGCTCGGCCCAGGAGCCCCGGCACGTGGAGGACAGCGGCCGCCGCACCTGGGGCAGGATGGTGATGCGGAAGGACCTGCTGGCGTTCTCGTCCCGCAGGTAGATGGAGATCTTGGGGAAGTAGGACCACGGGGTTTCCGAGTTGGTCCAGCAGGCCAGCTGCGACCCCATCCAGAAGCCGTCCGAGAACTCCGGAATCTACGACCAGGAGAGAAAGTCACGCGTCCGGCAGCAGGAGCAGCTCCGGCCCCTGTCGCTGCCAGACGCCACGACGGTGCAGCGTGACGCCAGGCTCCGGCCTCCGTGAAGGTGGGTGACGCGGGCCCGGGCGACCGGCTGCCCCTGCGGCCAGACAGACACGCGGGACAGCGCCCTGACCGGTCCGGTCCCCAATGGGCACGGCCGGGTCCCATCCCCAACCAGCCCCCATGCACGCTGGCCTTTGGTGAGCGCTGAGCCGACCTGAAGTCTGTGTCGCCGGGAGACGCTGGCCAGGCACGGCACCGGGCCGTGGTCAGGCTGCGGGGGCAGGGCTCGGTGGCCGGCCTGACCGCCAGAGCTGCAGCCTGCGCTGGCCCAGCCCAGTGCCCGGGACGAAAGAGGCACAGCTCTGGGGGGCAGCCAAGGCAGCACCCCAAAGTCGGGCAGGTCTCGGGGGCCAAAGCACACAACCTGGGGTCCAGTCCCACCCCTGAGTCGTAAAACCCGCGGCCATCTCGCCGGCCCTCGCCCTCCACACCGCCTGGCACCATGCCTGCCACAGCCACAGAAGCCAATGCCACGTGCCACGTGACGCCACCCTGCCTGGGCAGGGCGGCGGATGGGTGCCCACAGCCCAAGCCAGCTCCGTGCAGGAAGCCGAGTCTGGGTGTCGGGTGAATGCGCAGAGGACAGTCTGGCCACCCGCTTTGTTCAGGCCACAGTGGTCTGCACCCAGGACGCAGGGATCACACCTGCGGTCACTTATGTTTTCTCCTAAAAAAGCAGACACAGAACCCCCAGAAAAGCGGGTGCACCTGCCTCTAGGTTTCAGCGAGAGAAGCCCTAGGCCCCAGCCGCACAGCTGCGGCAGCGGGGGGCCGGCAGCACCCCTGAACAGAGACCCCCCAGGCACACTTTGAAACCCAGACCCAACAAGCCGGCATTCTGGCCCCCCAACAATCCACGCCGGGAGCGCAGCCCCAGCCCGGGGTGCCCCGCGAGCAGCAGAGACCCCGGCGCCGGCGGCCGGTCACCTGCAGCTGGGAACTCAGGGGCCCACCACCAACAGCGCCGCCCGCGGGGTGCGCCCGACAGGCCGCTCGGTCTCCCCGTCCCGTGCAGGCGGCAGCCGGGGTCATCTTGGACGCGCGGACATGCGTCGCCTGTCCCGGCAGCTGCTTTCGCGCCAGGTCAGCCCCAGCCCTGCGGCCCCTCCGTGCTCACGCCCTCACCCCGGCTGCTGGCCAGGTGTGGGGCGCTGGGCCGTCCAGCCCCACAGACAGGCCGGGGCGTGCGGGCAGCCGGCGCAGAGACCACCCACGGGGGGGCTCCGCGGCCGGCCGAGGACGTGTGCCGGGAGACCGGCTGCCTGCTGGTGGGGCCGCTCTGGCCGGGGGCCCCGCCCCCGCCCCCCGAGGCTTCGGCCGCCAGCGGGGCCGCCTGGCTGTTGGAACTCGGCTCCCCCTGCCTCCGTTTGGGCGAGGGACTCGGCTTCACGACCGTCTCCGGCTCCTCCCTGCTGTCCTCCTGTGACCACGCAGCCGCCCCTGTTCTCCCGGCCACGTCCCGGAACCCGCCGCCCGGTGGGGCGGGGGGCTGCGCCCGCTCAGTCCAGCACAGCCACTGGACGGGAAGCCATCCTGGCGTGGGGCTGGCGGCTGCGCAGGAGTCCTGCGGGCTCGTGTCCACGCGTGGTCTGATGAGCGACGGCGACGCTGCTTCCCACATATGGGGGGCCCCAGCCCCGCCAGGTGGGCGCCGGGCACGGAGGCCGCAGGGCCCCTCGCAGCCGGCTCCCCCGGCCCCGCCTCGGAAGCGGTGGGACGTGGGGAACCCCCGTGGTCCCCACGGTTGCCCTGAATGAGTCACAAAGCTGGGGTGACTCCGGGGACGCCGTCTGCATGTCGTCCGCGCCCGCGCGGCCACCGCGTTGCGGACGGGCGGGAGTGGTCACCCGAGGGGCCAGCTGGCCTGGCGTCCGGGGCCCGCGCCGGGCACAGAGGGACCGCGGTCTGGCAGCCTGACGAGGCCCGCAGGGTGCGGTTCTGGGTGTGGTTTGGAAGCTCCCGGTCGGGGTGCGGTTCACGCCAGCACGGCACTTGCTTCCAGGAAAGCAGGTGCCGGCGGCCA